ATCTGGAAGTGGCGTCATTTTATGAAATATGGCTGGGATGGAAAAGCATTCCTAGATTTTACTATGCCCTAGCGCGATATCTTAGTTACAACACTTATAATTTATTCCCGAATTATTAAAACTACTGTTCAAATTGGCTATCTAAATGACCTATCACGGAGAAAGAATTCAAAATAGACTTCCAAGGAATTATAATTGTAGGGTCCGTTTTGTTCGCTGATTCGAGTTGAGATGTGACTTTATATGAGAACTTTTTACTGGAGAAAAAAGTTAAATGTGACTGTTTCTGAGAACTTTTTATTATAATAAAACTCGAATTGTAAACTCTAATCGGTGAAATGAACGCGGCTGTAAAATTTTCACTCTAAAGGTAAAAATACTAAAACTTTTTTTTTATTGATCCGATAAAAGAAAACTAAAAAATTTGATGTGAAATCTTTCTCACGATATATATATATAACGTTATGATCTAACTCTAATTCCGATTCCTTTTCAACTATTAAATTTACATTAAATTCTGCCTTTTCTAATATTATATTTTAAGTAAATTTAACGTTTGAAACATTAACCTCAAATAGAATTTTAAAACATTACACTCAAATAGAATATATATATATATATATATATACCGTAAATTAAAAAGCTCCACCTTAGTAACATTCAGCCATAGTTCTTCACACTTAAATTTAAAAAAGAAAAAAAAAAAAAAAAGGAACGAGAACAAGAAAACATGTGGGATGTGACAAAACTAGAAGTGAATGGTCAATCCATCTAGAATTACGATAACTCTTGGCAATCTGAAAAGGACATCAATCGGAACAAATCCAAAACATTTTAACATCATAACGAAAAAGAAATAAAAAACACAAAAGAAATAAAAAACATTTAACAAATGGAAAATAACTCCACACGGACCCCACTCATCTTCAATCGTTAAAGTGAAAATATACGATAGAATCTTTTGTGTTTCTCAAGTCGCGTCAGCAACAAACAGCTCTATCCCATTATCCACACGTGGCATGTTCTAGCCACGAGACAAGGACCCAATAACACGTATGTGGCCCCCACCATAACTGTTTCCCGCCTTATCGATCACTTTTATAAGCAACTAGTCAAAATATCCTCTTCTACAAGACTCATTGAGGCTAAGAACGAGTGAGATTTTTTTTTTTCCCATAAAAAATAACTATTATAATTATGGGTTAATCTCAAAATCTCAATTTAATGCGTGACTTTTTAAACGTTGTAAAGATAGGATTCGTTTAGTTTGTTGATTTAAATTTTTAATTTGAATTGAGATATAATTTTATGTGAGAGATTTTTACTATAATAAAAAAATTAAATGTGATGTTTCTGAAAATTTTTTGTTGTAATAAAACTCGAATTCTAAACTCGAATAAGTGAAATGAACGGAGCCTTAGTCTCTGAAATTTTATTCTATTTTAGCTTATGTTTATATTACGTTAAAAAGATTAAAGACTAAAAAGAAATTGAATCTAAACCTTATAGACTATTTATGAAATTAATTATGTAATTATTGATATAGATGTGCAAAATAATTCATTAATGATAAATAAAAAAATTCAAACTATTTGTATAAAAGTATATGAAGGATATTTTTTATCGTGATCTTCTTAAACTAAATGTGCTTATAATTCCGCCATAAATGATAGTTTTATAATAAATAAATATTAGTCTTTTAGAACATCCTCTGCCTTCTAATAGATTCTTTTATATGATAAAGAAACTTATTTTTTATATGAGTGAGGGATAAAAATAACATATTTAGTAGGATATTTAGTAAATTATAATATAAATTTTTTAAAATAGTAGATTATAACATAATTTAATAATTTAAGTTTTAAATATTGTTGGAAACTCAAAAATATCCCTAAATCTTTTTTTCCTCCTCACTCATTCTCTTTAAATATCTATTTTTTAAAATATGTGGATTATACTCAAGTTCATCATGCTCGGCGCTAATGATCGGCAGTTGATTCTGACGACCATTTTTCAACAGCCGGAGGCGACAATCATTTTTTCCATGATTGTTTTTTGGCTACGTTTAACTGTATTTACCGGTAAATACAATATTTACTACTATATATCATATTTTATCTAAAAATCCAACCACCGACTCTAGCGACTGGCATCCAGCTCCGGTGACCATTTTCTGCGGCCGAGATTGACGATTGTTTTATTAATGACTGTTTTTCAGCGAACGTTTAACTGTATTACCGGTAAATACAATATTTACTATTAAATATCATTTCTACTGTTTAACACTATATTTATCGATAAATACCATATTTGTAAGAAAATATCACATTATCTGAAAAATTGGGCAGCCACTCTAATGACCATTCAACATTGTATTTACCTGTAAATACGGTATTTACTAGTAAATATTGTATTTATTACTAAGTAACATATTTATTTGAAAAGTCAGACACCGACTACGGCGACCGTTTAACACTGCAATTACCGTTAAATATCGTATTTACCAGTAAATATTGTATTTACTAGTAAATATCATATTTATCCAAAAATTTGACCACCGACTCCAATGACCGTTTCATAATTATCAGTAAATTTTTACTAGTATCATATTTATTCAAAAATTTAGCTACCGACTTTGACGACCGTTTAACACCATATTTACCGATAAATATTGTATTTACTAGTAAATATAATATTTATCTGAAAATCTAGCCACCAACTCAAACGATCGTTTAACATTGTATTTACTAGTAAATACCGTATTTACAGATAAATATCGTATTTACATATCTCAAATTCATAAAAATAAAAATAAAATAAAATAACCAAAACCAAAATCTCCCATAACAGATCTCAAAAACACTCAAATAAAATAGATTTACTGATAAATCCAAGAAGTAAAATCTCATCAAAATAGAGTTCGAAACGTGTAAACAAATGCAAAATCATAAAAATTAGATCTACACAAAATATCAAACTCATATAAGAAAAAATCATAACCACATTATACATATACTAAAGGAGAGGACGGGATTCACTGTTCATGCTACAGTGCAATGAACAGTGTATTCCTGTTTTAGCCTTGCTTTTTTCTTCTGTTGAAATTTTAATTCCCGTTATGTCCTGCTGAGCGTAAATTTACTATATTGCCCCTTAGTTCAGAATTTTTTGTTTCTATTTGCTGTGACCGTTTTGGTCATTTACACAGTGTTTTATTTTGACTTTTTCGTTTGTTGCTTTTTTAATTGTTTTTGTTCCCTTCTTTCTGTAGTCATTTATCTCTTTCTCTTTCCTTTGTTTCTTTTGTTTTATTTTGTTCTGCGTCTGTATTAATTAATAATATTAATTAATTGCTTCAATATTTGTAAAGTAAAACAATCCTGCAGATTTTGGTCATAGTCCACTCGGTCCCTTGGGAAGAGATAATTTTTTTTAATTATTATTATTATTATTATGTCAAGTTTACTCAATAGAATAACGCAGACTAAAAAATAGTCTTCTGTTGATTTTTTATTCCCATTATGTCCTTTTGAATGTAAAGTTATTAATATTGTCCTTTAGTTCAGCTTTTTTTGTTTTTGTTTGTTATGACCATTTTGATCATTTATACTCAAAATGAGTGTTTTATTTTCTCTTTTTTCGTTTGAATTGTTTTTCTTTCCTTCTTTCTACAACATCATTTATCTCTTTCGTTTATTTTCTTCTGCAACGTTCTAGATCTCTTTTTTTTTTCTCACTCAGATTGATTTTTTTTTCTTTTTCGTTTGTTGGTTTCTATGATCTTACCTTCTAGATATATGTTTTTATTTCTTTGTTTCTGCAGCAATATTTTTATAATATTTATTTCATATTATCTAATTTAAATATCTTTATTTTTTTAACACTTATATTTACAACTAATTTTCTCATTTTTATATTTGCAGCTGAAAGAAATGAAATGCTCAAAAATCACAACAACGTTGTATTTTATTTTATACAATCTGTATATATATATATTATAAATAATAATACTATATATGTCTGTATAAATATGTTTATATAAATTTTATATTTATCATATAATACAATACTATATAATACATGTATATATAAATATATTTTAAATGCAACTATTATATAATACAATATTGTACTCCGCAGGAACGCGCGGAATACATGTTTGTATCTACATAAAATCACAATTAGATCTTAAAAATACACTCCTATCACAAACTTCCTTTTGGGGAAAAAAAAAAAGGAAAAAGAAAAAAGTAACAGACAAAATCCAAAATCCAACCGGAGTCAAAACCCACGCAATAGATACTCACTCAACGTTGCCTCTCCGATTTTCCCACACTCGAAACCGACACTGAGGATAATCTTCCCATGCTTCGTCGGCACCGCCCATCCTCGCGGATCAACACTCTTTGATTGGGATCTACTTTGATAACAACAGTGCCTGAATTGAGTTCCACACGGCTTATGTGGTGATATGCGTAAATGGCTTCTGTAAACAACACTAAATTACATGATATGAAACTTTGAAGAAGATTAATTCTATTTTTAGTTGTCAACATTTCGTTTTTTTCCACGACTTCTAGAATGTTTTCAAATGAGTCTTTTTTTTTAAATTTCACGGCTTTAAATTGCGATTCTCAATTTAAATAGGGAATTTAATAAAAACTTCCCTCTTTCCAACCCAAGTGACATTTTTCGCTTCCAAACATTAATTTAGATTAGATTCCTTTTTAAAATAAGAATTGTTTTTCAAACCTAAGAAAATTGATTATTTGTATATATAATATATGGATAACATTGATCACATATACATATGTTTTTATGGCCCAACCAAGTAATCGTCAAAACAAAGAAAAATGAAAAACTGAGAAAAAAAAAAAAGGAAAGAATAATTAAAACTTGATTTTTTAATCTGGCAGGTTGTCCCCAAGCTCGGACACGTGTCAGAATGGTATAGGTAGTTAAAGCTTGATATTATCTCAAACTCGCATTATATAAACACACGCCATATCTACACTTTCGTCCCAACTTCCCAAGGATAAACGTTCTAGAACACAAGAATCTCTCTTTCACAAAACAAAGAAATGGAAACTTCACATCACAACTTCTCTTTCTCCGAGTTAATTCCGGGTCTCCCCGATGAACTCGGCTTGGAATGCCTGACTCGTCTTCCCTACCAGACTCACCGAGTCGCCTCCCGAGTCTGCCGGCGATGGCGATCTCTCATCGAAAGCCGCGAGTTCCACCACCTCAGACGAACAAACGGCCATGCCCACAAGCTTGCTTGCCTCGTCCATGCGCTTGACAAAACTTCGAATCGCGGAGTCTCGGACTTGCCGAAACGCGGTGGCGAAACGGCAGTGAGTTTCGGAATCGCCGTGTTCGACTCGACCGACTCGAGCTGGCACCCGATCGACCCGGTTCCCAAGTACCCGGACGGGCTTCCGCTCTTCTGCCGGATCGCGAGCTGCGAAGGGAAGCTAGTTGTCATCGGAGGGTGGGACCCACAAACGTACGAACCCGTTACGGACATTTTCGTATTCGATTTCGTTGAGAATCGGTGGAGAGAAGGGCGGAAAATGCCGGAAAAAAGGTCGTTCTTCGCAGTCGGGTCGGATTCATGTCGGATCTATGTTGCGGGCGGGCACGACGAAAATAAGAACGCGCTGAGCAGCGCGTGGGCTTACGATGTGGACCGGGACGAATGGAACGAGTTGACTCGAATGAGTCGGGAACGGGACGAGTCCGAGGGGGTGGTCATAGGTGGTGAGTTCTGGGTCGTGAGCGGGTACGGGACGGAGAGTCAGGGCGCGTTCGATTCAAGCGCGGAGGTTTACAACTCCGAGTCGAAGACGTGGCGGCGCGTGGAGGGCGTGTGGGAGAAAGGGAGGTGCCCGAGGGGGTGTTTAGGGGTTTGGATGGAGGGAGAGAGGAGGTTGGCGAGTTGGGGTGAGTTGGACTCGGCGGTCCGAGTTGGGACGTGTGGAGTGGCGTTGGGGGATCATCAGGCCGTGGTGGCTGGGTCCCCGTGCCAAGATGGGACCCACGGATTCCATTTGGTGGAGTTAAAGGAAGGGCAAAATGGGAAATTCGAAAAGATTAGTGTGCCTAGTGAGTTTTGTGGGCCAGTTCAATCTGCTTGCTGCGTTGAGATATAGTGGAATTGCATTGTTCAATAAATACCACTCGAAAATCAAAAGAAGGAACACTTTTTTTTTTGTGTCAGTGTTTTTGCTCAAAAGACCAATAAGATAGTTCCTATGTTTTATAGTTTATCTCAAAAATGGTTTCTTACCATTTAAGTACATCCGTATCGACATTTTTGAGTATCAATTTGTAAAAGTATGTTTGGCGAGAGAGAGAAAAAAAAAAAAAAAGAGTGCAAATGAATTTTGATGATTGAGACAAGTTTTTGCAACTTAAGAAAGTTATTAGTTATTACTTTATTGGTTCCTCTAAAAGGGCTTAGTATTATATAGTTAAACAAAAGGTCGGTCGATCCGTCAAATGAAATTGTTGATACATAAATGGTGATTTAACATTTTTGTGGACTTTTCTTTTTTTGATATTATAGTATTTTTGTTGATGACTTGTGAAAGATGTTGACGCATGGGAAATGGTCCACACATCATACCATATTAAAAGTCTGCATATGGATTCTGGATCAAGATTTAAAGGCTTGTTTTTTAGATTAAAATTTAAAAGAAATTTAAATTTAAATTATAATTTTATTTAAATTTATGTTTTTTTTATAAAATTTGAGTTTGAATTTGAATTTTAACTTGAATTGAGGTTAAATTTTGAGTTTAAGTTTTTCTTTCAACTCAAGTTCTTAAACTCAAATTTAAGTTAATGAACATTATTTTTTCTATTCTTAAAAACATTATAATTTTTTTTTAATTCTGATTGAGATGATTTTTTTATGCGTTCACAACAAAAAGATGAATAAAATCTCACTCATATACCCTATTAAAATTTTCTATCACCATTGAGTTTTTATTAAAATATTATCTAAATATAAATTCAAGTTTTGACCCACCTAAACACAAACTCAAATAGATTCACAATTCAAATCATAACTCAAATGTACACATCCAAATACAAACTCAAATTATAACTCAAATTTAACTTAAAATTTACACTCAAGTCACTATAACTTAAAAATATAACCGAATAACTCTTTAAAGCTTCTGTAATTTGCTTCTTTTTTCTTCGTATATAGGTTTTTTATGGGATTAAACATATTGTTTTGATTATATTACAATATTTTTCTCTCATAAAAAATTTAAATTTTAAAAGTCATAATTAAAACTTCTAATTTTAACTATGATTTGAACACATATACTAAAGGGATCCTAAATTTTCTTTCCTATTTTGTTTGTAATTTGTTTTCTTTTGCGTATGAGTTAAGGTCACTCCGCTAAGAGTTTAAGATTGCGTGCGAATTACGTGAAAAAAAAAAAAAAAAAAAAAAAAAAACTGTTCAAGATTCAATGGGCATGATCACAAGAGCTATTGATACGGTACGTTTTAAAAAGGTCTATTGTCATAGATTTTTTTATGAATTGATTTTCCACGACACAATAAGTTTGGGGGATAATGACGGAGATAAAAAAAGTTTTCTAAATTGTTATAGTTATTGTTGATACTAATAAATAGTCACATAATTTGATTAGAAAAAAAAAATCACATAAGAATATTCCCTTGGGATTAGAAAATTGGAACGCAGCAGCCGTTCAAAATCACCAGAGATAAGATTTATTTTTTTTGAGTGAATTTCACAAATAGTCTGTGAAGAGGTTTACTGAATACATTTTGGTCTTTAATTTTTTAAACGTCTTATAATTAGTCTTTTGAGGTTTTATTTTATTTAAATTTTAATCTTTCTATTAATTAAGTGTTAAATTTTTTATAAAACCTGTAAAAATTAAAGATCATAATTAAAAACAATCTAAAGTTTAAAGACTAAAATAAAAAAAATATAATTTCTAATTATAATATTAAAACTTTAATTATTTCTAATTTTAGTCATTAATTTATGCAGACCCAATTTAGGCGTTTTACTTACAATTTCAAGTGTGCAGCAAATTCATATCTTGGATCAATTCATGCTCAACTTTTACTATTAAAAAGACCGAAATATACTTATAAGGGAGAAAAGAAAAGAAAAAATTGGCAAAAATTTTTAGAATAAAAAATAAAATAAAATAAATCTCAACTCTCATATTGTACCGTTCTTTTTTTTTTTTTTGGGAAGAATGAAGCAATACTTGAAGTAAATAATAAAATTATTTAAAGTAAATAACAGTTTATTGTTTAAATGATCTTTTTATTATTAGTAAAAAGATTTTTTTCACTTAAATAAAATTTTTTTATCGTGTTAATTATTTTTTACCAATCGTAAAAAGATCATGTGCACAATAAAATGCTATTTACTTTAAATAATTTTAACATCTACTATTTACTTAATTTAGTTTTTAATTCTTAATTTAGTTTTAAATAGGCTAATTACTATAATTTTTGTTGGAGTAAAATTTCGTTCAACACTTATCAAACGTCCATAGATTAATAATTCGGATTGAATAAGCAAATTATCTAAGAAAATTAGAAGAACACCCATAGAACACAAAGAACCTCAGAAAAAGTAACAAGAACAAAATGAAGACAATCACAAGGCAATTGTATTCAGAAATAAGTGCTTATATTTTCTTATCAAACCGAGAGAATTTATAGTACATTGGGAATTGAGGTTTAATTCTTCCCATTAATTTGAGAGTTTATTCTCTCTTCAATACAATATGGCTCTTCACATTTTTTGGGTGTTATAAATAATTAATAAACGAATTAAACTTGAGTCGTTATGTGGCGTTTGGTTCATGGATTCAAATCATATGATTAGAACCATTTTTGATTTACGTGTATTTTTTGTGAGAGAAAATACTGTAGCGAACCATGATTCGAATCAGGGAACGAATCTAGATACCAAACGGAAAAGTCGTTTAATCATCGGCCGTTACTTGACATTGACGCTTAAAAACTCTTTGATCTTCCAACTTCTCTCCTACCCGAGCATATGCTCATATAGTTATCCTAGGGTATGCTCGGGTGGTTTCCTAACGTATGCTCAAGTGATTTTGCTAATGTACGTTCAAGTGTTATTCGAATGTATGCTTGAGTGGCCAGAAAACTTATTATAATTTATTGGCTCCGAAAAATCCATCCAACATCAAGCCCCAGTCCTTGGCTCGCCAAGCGAAGAGGACTTCCTTAATTTTCTCTTAAGGAATGAACTTGAACCTTTTTTTATCTGTTAAGCTCGTCTGTCTTCTAAATTTGCATAAAGATCTAACGAAAATTTTCAGAAGAAACTTCATTTTCCTATAAATGTGTATCCCAAAATCACCATGAATATCAAAGATTTGACGAAGATTTGCGTGGGATACTTTTCTTTTCTGAACGAGCGCATATTTCTAGTATCTGCTGAAATCTTGACTATGAATCTGCAAATTAATTACCATAATATCTCCCCCTTCACTTCTACACAATCTCACGAGTGACAAAATTCTGATAACCCTCTTAATATATTCAAATTGGAAAGATCTTTTGTTCCCGCCGCATCATTACTTGAAAGAAGCTTTTTCAAGTCAACGTGGAAGGAACTTTGAGAAAAGATCAAAAGTATTGGATTTTGAATGTGAACCTTTATTTACGCTCATTAACTTATTTTTCACTTTCCCAGATCAGACGCACCAAACTCTGCGCCAATCGGGTTCGTCATACTCCCCGATGGCGAAAATTCTTCTAATTCTTCAAATTCCACAGATTTTTCTTACAATCCCGATCGCGATGACTGTGATCTGGTGATTCATGAGAACCTCCGTAAAACTGAACGCCCATTCAGAAAAGGAAATGAAAAGCACATTTAGGTTCAAGCTCTTCAACGTCTCTTCCTCTTCATCAGAACCAACTCCAAGCATTAACATTCAACCAAAATCATCATTGAAAAAAAATAGTGCGTTTGGAATTCATTCTAAAATAATTTCATTTTTTGTATGAAAATGAAAACGAAAATGTTTTTAATCTCAGACAGAAATCATTTTTAAAAAATGGATTTGGTAGTTTTATCAAGAAATTATTTTCAGTATAAAAAAAATCTATTAATGTCTCTCTTTCTCTCTCTACTCGAAAGCGGATAAAACGGAAACAAAAATGAAAAATGACTAAAAGTCATTTTTCATTTCTCTCCCATTTTACACTAAACTAAAAAATTATTTTCATTTCCGTTTTTTGTCTTTAATTGTGCCAAAAGCCGTTTCTCTTCCATCTTCATTTTTTCTTTCTCGAAAAACGCGAAAATAAAAACAAAAATAACTACAAACACAATCAAAGTAGTTTCTAATGATAACCCTGTCGACGTTAAACCTAAACAAAAGAGATCCTCTTCGAAAAACAAGCGGAAGAGATACAACAAGCAAGGTTTCTCTATCCGAGCAAGAGCTCTGTGCACCACCCAAGCGTACGCTAGGGTCCTCACCCAAGCGTACGCTCAGGTCCATTCCCGAGCTCCGAGTTGGAGTTGACTCTGTGACGACCCTCCAGAGTGGCCGTCACCGTAATCCGCTACCTATTTATGATAAACCCAAACTCGCTAATTTTGTGCGGGTTTCGAGTCGTGTCGTCGTGTCGCTACCCGGATTGCCAGCCCTAGTATTAACTTGTAAAAGTATGTTTGGCAAGGAGGAGAAAAAAAAAAGATAAGAGTGCAAATGAATTTTGATGATTAAGCCAAGTTTTTGCAACTAAAGAAGGCATTGTGATCTTAATTAGTTATTAGTTATTACTTTATTGGTTCCTCTAAAAGGGCTTAGTATTATATAGTTAAACAAAAGGTCGGTCGATCCGTCAAATGAAATTGTTGATACATAAATGGTGATTTAACATTTTTGTGGACTTTTCTTTTTTTGATATTATAGTATTTTTGTTGATGACTTGTGAAAGATGTTGACGCATGGGAAATGGTCCACACTTCATACAATATTAGGTCTGCATACGGATTCTGGATCAAGAATTAAGGCTTCTGTAGTTTGCTTCTTTTTTCTTCTTTCGTTTTGGTAGAATATTTAAAGTATGTTTCGTATATAGGTTTTTTTATAGGATTAAAAAAATTGTTTTGATTATGTTACAATATTTTTTTCTTATAAAAAATTTAAATTTTAAAAGTCATAATTAAAACTACTAATTTTAACTTTGATTTGAACACATATACTAAAGGGATCCTAAACTTTCTTTTCTATTTTGTTTGTTATTTGTTTTCTTTTGCGTATGAGTTTAAGATTGCGTGCGAATTACGTGAAAAAAAAAAAACACTGTTCAAGATTCAATGGGCATGATCACAAGAGCTAGAGAAAAAAAAAGTTTTCTAAATTGTTATAGTTATTGTTGATAC